TCTGTACTCGAGGTATAAGTGAGTATACGTTTGTCAGCGTTGTTTAATACTTGAGATAACTGCTGTGACAGTCAGGGGTCAAAGGTTAGTGTTTGTTGCCCCGAAGACTCTTCAGCCGGCTGGGGGAGGTTTATGTGATCCGGGACTTGATTTGTGGATCCATTTTGACTCTAAATTTACGATCTGAACTTTATCTGTGAGACAGAGGAGCTGCAGTCTGTAACAGAGATCTCCTTTTACTCCCAGAACGTCTCCTCAGCAGGATTTATTATTTATTCCCCCTCCTGAGACATCCCTCATATTGTCGGAGCAGGTGTCCTCCATCGCTCTGGGCTTCTTGTTTTTCCTCCGAATGGCAGAGATCTCATTTTGCAAATAAGATCATCATTTTGGGTTCAAGATACCAAGAGGCCGGGGGGGAGGAAGGGAGGTCAAACTGGCACTAAAAGTGGACGTTTGCTGCTCTAACCAACATGTATTTTCTTTGTTGTTATGATTTCAGTGATGAAGAAACAAGAAGTTAAAGGGGACCTATCATGCAAAATGCACTTGTGTACGTCTTGTATACATGAATATGTGTCCCCGGTGTTCCAGGGAACTCACCAAGTGTCAGAAAACACAACCCTCTCTATTTTCCTCCATACCCAAATCTCTAAAAAAGGGGCTGCAACGGATCTGATAAAAACTGATCCAGATTTGAACACTGTCCTGACGCCAGGACGGTGGCGCTACGGCTATTGGGCCAACTCCACCAATCAGGAGGAGACAGCCACGGCCATTGCCGTTCGAAAGCGCTGGAGACACTGTAGTACATATGCCAGGCCTGTAGGTGGTGCTGTTCTCACAGAATCAACCCTTGCTAAAACAGAGCTAACATTTTTCAAATTGAGCAAAATGAGGCATGGCTAAAATGCATGATCTGTTTGGTATAAATATGCCTTATATAGGTATGGTCCTACACTATGTTATTCAAATATAGCATGATAGGTCCACTTTAAGTGAAAAATGTTGGAAGTAAATATCAAGAGTAAAAGTAACATTGAGTTGAGAATAAATCTGCAATCTCCAGAGTGAAGTCAAATTATTTGAAAGTCAAAATGTCTAGAAAAAGGGTGGGGATAGGATCCCAAGAGGTTATAGAGGGTATTGAGGTATTGAGGTGATAGAGGTATTGAGGTATAGAGGTATTGAGGTATAGAGGTATAGAGGTATAGAGGTATAGAGGTATAGAGGTATAGAGGTATAGAGGTATAGAGGTATAGAGGTATAGAGGTATTAGAGGTATAGAGGTATAGAGGTATAGAGGTATAGAGGTATAGAGGTATTGAGGTATAGAGGTATTGAGGTATAGAGGTATAGAGGTATAGAGGTATATAGGTATAGAGGTATAGAGGTATAGAGGTATAGAGGTATAGAGGTATAGAGGTATAGAGGTATAGAGGTATAGAGGTATTAGAGGTATAGAGGTATAGAGGTATAGAGGTATAGAGGTATAGAGGTATAGAGGTATTAGAGGTATAGAGGTATAGAGGTATAGAGGTATAGAGGTATAGAGGTATAGAGGTATAGAGGTATAGAGGTATAGAGGTATAGAGGTATAGAGGTATAGAGGTATAGAGGTATAGAGGTATAGAGGTATAGAGGTATAGAGGTATAGAGGTATAGAGGTATAGAGGTATAGAGGTATTGAGGTATAGAGGTATTGAGGTATAGAGGTATAGAGGTATAGAGGTATAGAGGTATAGAGGTATAGAGGTATAGAGGTATAGAGGTATTGAGGTATTGAGGTATAGAGGTATTGAGGTATAGAGGTATAGAGGTATTGAGGTATTGAGGTATTGAGGTATAGAGGTATAGAGGTATAGAGGTATAGAGGTATAGAGGTATAGAGGTATAGAGGTATAGAGGTATAGAGGTATAGAGGTATAGAGGTATAGAGGTATAGAGGTATTGAGGTATTGAGGTATAGAGGTATAGAGGTATAGAGGTATAGAGGTATTGAGGTATAGAGGTATTGAGGTATAGAGGTATAGAGGTATTGAGGTATTGAGGTATTGAGGTATAGAGGTATAGAGGTATAGAGGTATAGAGGTATAGAGGTATAGAGGTATAGAGGTATTGAGGTATAGAGGTATAGAGGTATAGAGGTATAGAGGTATAGAGGTATTGAGGTATAGAGGTATAGAGGTATAGAGGTATAGAGGTATAGAGGTATAGAGGTATAGAGGTATTGAGGTATAGAGGTATAGAGGTATAGAGGTATAGAGGTATAGAGGTATAGAGGTATTGAGGTATTGAGGTATAGAGGTATAGAGGTATAGAGGTATAGAGGTATTGAGGTATAGAGGTATTGAGGTATAGAGGTATAGAGGTATAGAGGTATTGAGGTATAGAAGTATAGAGGTATAGAGGTATTGAGGTTAAACCCCTGGAGCTCTGGTCTAAAGCGGACGGTGTACATTTCTCTCTTTGAGTTCCGGATCATTCTCAGATGAAAGCAGCGTTAGAGAGCTGATGGTGTTTCCAGATGGTGGAGCTGCAGAGGTGAACATCGATCCCCGTTTATGAGTCGTGTAAAACCGTTTTCCGTCAGCAGCAGTTTGGGACACCTTGTTATCCTCAAAGTGCCCCTCTGTCCTCCACCGCTTCATCTTTAGTTCAGTTTCAGTCCATCTGAAGGCTGGGCCTGAATCAGACGTTAATGACAACATCATTGCACAATTCTGACAAACTTATACCTCGAATAAAGAAGGAAACACTATAAACTTATGTATAATATTCAATTAATTGTTTCGAATAAGTAGAGTTATCATCTCGTTGATGTAGAAGCTAAAGAGTTGTAGTTAATACAATGATTCAGGAGGAGTTTGTGGGCTGACCAAAGTGTGAAGTTTTTCAAAATAATGTCAAAATGTTGAGAATCATATCAAACTTTCGGAATAGTTGAAAATGTCCAGAATAAAGTCGTAATGTTGGGATCACATTGAATCTATATGATGTGTTTTTCCCCCTCCTCCTGATGGATGGGGGGTCCTTAATGAAAACCAGTGACATTATGCAATCATTTCAAGTTACTTGTTGTAAAGGTCTAGCGTAGGCCAGAGAAGAAGCCATGATGTTGTTATTGTTGTTGTTGTTTATTCCAAATGGCACTTTATTTTCTATTATTATTTCATCAGTGTTTCTATCATATATTTGTTGTCAATGTAATAAAGAAGGTACACTTTAGCATTTGTGGGGTTTTTGTTTGAGTGCTTAACATGTTATATCATCCAAAACAGTCTAATAGCTTTCTATAGAAACTGTTATTGTTTTCGTCAGCAATCATATTCATTTCCCTGCATCAGCACTGCAGTATGATTCATATTTGTAAACAATTTATGTCAAAATCTGTGAGTTTAACAGATTATTCTGGATTTTTCACTTCATGATTTCTGGTGAATTTCAGACTTTGACTTCTATTAGGAACTTTGTTTGTTAAGGTGTGTTTCAATTGGATGCACAACACTGATATTCACACACCTTTAATTACCGGCATGTTTAAACATTATCATCTTGCATTGAGTTGTTTTGGGGGGGGGGGGGGGTCAGAGTCCTGTATTTAAAGACCTGTCAATCACTTTTATAGGGATAATCCTGTGAGTGGAGGCTTTGAATATTTCCTCCAACACTTAAAGCATCAGCTCGTGACCATCTGTCACTCAGAGGATAGTGGAGGGTAGCTTCGTGCAGATGTGTGCTCTGCAGCGCCCTCTGCTGCAATATATCGGTACTGCAGGTAAACATTATATAGAAATATTAAAATCTATAATCTACATTTTAATGTGTGTGGATGGTGATGCAGATGGGAGGCAGGCGGTCTAATAATCTCTCAATTACATTTACTGGTATAAACTTACAGTATTTAAACTGTGTGGCTCATTATGAAATATGAGGCCTTGTATGAAGTATTTCTGCTCATTTTGGATATCATGTATGTCTTAATAAGTTTAACTTTCATACATATATGAAAAGTAATAAAAGAAAATAATTAAAAAAAAGATTATTATCAACATTATTTGGTTTTAAATGTTTTTTAATATTGTTTTGACCTAATAATCAAAAGCGTAAGAAAAAAGCAATTAGTCAGAAGGTGAAAACATCACAAACTGGATGATAATTAACTCAAATTTAAAATGTAATTTCTGTCACAATATCACCATTAATTCTTATTATTTTATACTACTTTGCCCCAATTTGATTATTATATTTATACAGATTTAAATATATCAAGATTATAAAATTCTCCTTTTTTTATTACTGTTTTCTACTTTGATTTTTAAGTATTCCTCTTTTCCACCTTTTTTTATACTTGTATTCCTTTCAAAATATAAATAAATACAAATAAAAGGTTTTAAACTTCAAATTGGCTTTTCTGATTTGTTTATTTTTTCTATACATATTTATTCAATGACTTAAAACACATTTATTCCATTAAAATCATGTTTTATTCACTTTTAAAATGTGTTATTCTGTCATAGGGCCTAAACATTAGGCCCCAACCATATTTAATTTTCTCTTAATTTCTTTGATGTAATTCCCTTTTTTAACCCCATCACTCCTTGCTGCCAGAAAAACATTGCATTTAATTAATAAAAATGTATAGCAATTTATTATTAAAAAAAACAGACTTTGTAATAAAATAAAAACTCTAATAGACCCTCTATAAAGTAAGCCCCCCCCCCCTGATTTAAATCCTTAATATCTGCTGTCAGTATTTGCTCTCGCACATGTGTTTTTGAGAGCTGCAGTTTATTACCCCGCTGTTACTGCTCTGTTAGAGGTAATTGAACACTAATTACCGTGAAGCTGTAAAAACCCCGCCCTCTTTTCGCTGATTGGTCAGACCCCAGCTCACGTCACCGCTCTGACCCCGCCCCCCTCGGGTTGTCCCAGGTATAAAAGTCTCCAGGTCAACAGCTGAGTGGACAGAAGAGAGTGTGAAGGACTCTACATTCCCCTCCAAAAACAAAAAGACTCAGACACTTTCTGGATTTTCCTTCTTCTTCTTCTTCTTCTTCTTCAAAGTCAACTTTATTGTCAATCTTCCAGTTTTGTGTTCTTCTCCTCCTTCTCCTTCTTCTTCGGTGGTGTTTTAGATTTTTTCTGTGTGATCATGGAGCTGTCGGATATCTCTTTCCCCATCCCTGCCGCAGATGATTTCTACGACGACCCGTGCTTCAACACCACTGACATGCACTTCTTCGAGGACCTGGACCCGCGCCTGGTGCACGCGGGCCTCCTGAAGCCGGACTCTTCTTCCTCGTGCCCCTCTCCCTCACCGTCATCCTCCTCCTCTTCCTCCTCCCTGCACCACCACCACCAGGATGAGCACGTGCGAGCCCCCAGCGGACACCACCACGCGGGCCGCTGCCTCCTCTGGGCGTGCAAAGCGTGCAAGAGGAAAACCACGGGCGCGGACAGGAGGAAGGCGGCCACCATGCGCGAGAGGCGGCGGTTGGGGAAGGTGAATGACGCGTTTGAGAACCTGAAGAGATGCACATCTGCCAATCCGAACCAGAGGCTGCCCAAAGTGGAGATCCTGCGCAACGCCATCAGCTACATCGAGTCTCTCCAGGCGCTGCTGCGCGGAGCAGGGGGGGGCGTGCCGGAGGAGAGCTTCTACCCGGGGATGGAGCACTACAGCGGGGACTCGGACGCCTCCAGCCCCCGGTCCAACTGCTCCGACGGCATGGTGAGTGTCAGGGAGCCAGACAGCTGTCAAACAGGCAGCAGGGGAGGGGGATTTGAGTGTGTTTATCCACTGCGTCTTTACGCACGGAAAAGTTAGTTTTGGTTATTTGTTTGTGTTTTATTCGTTTTTGTATTTCCTAAAAACGCGTGTACAATAGTTTATATATTATATAGTATCCACGTATCTTTACTTTGTTTTTCTCTTTTAGTTTGACTCGTTTTCTTGTTTTGTTTTGGTGCTTTTGTTGGCTCCTTTTGGACGTGAGTTGATCCACTGCGTCTTTACGCGCGGAAAAGTTACATTTTTGTTAAGTTTTAAATCTTAGTTTTCCTTATTTTATTTTATGTGTTGTCAAACATGCAGCAGGGTGGGGGGAGAGGGGGGATTGAGTGTTCTTATGAACGTGTCCAAGAGTGTATCCACTGTGTCTTTACGCACGGAAAAGTTGGATTTTGGTTATTTTGTTTTATTCGTTCTTTTATTTGAGACAATAGTTTATCCTTACTTTGGTTCCTTTACTGGTTTATGTTTGTGTTATTAGTTTTCCTCGTTTCTCTGGGTAAATGTATTTTCTCTCCATCACTGATCTGTATTTATTCTGCGGGAAACCGAAGCTTAGAAACCGTCTCATGTCTTCTCCAAAGGACCGGGGGGAGATCTGGGGAAACTAGCTTGATCTCTCCTCAGTCGTAGTTTTAGTTTCATTCGTTTATTTATTTATTTTCAATAAGATTTCGTTAATTTAATTTGATTTAATTATCTTGAGCTTTTACACATCCTATTAAATGTGTTTTATTACTATCGATTTGATTCGTTTAATCTCAGGTTGTCTTTTTATCTGTAAATTAAGTGACATTAAAAATAGACAAAAACATGGATTTTAATAGTTAATGCAATGTTTTCGTTTTGATTCAGAAAAGCATAATTTTTCTGCACTAGATTTGTTTAAAAAATGTAGTTTTTTGTGGAAACTAAAGCTTTATACATTTCGTTAGATCCCGTATATTACTCTGTCCTAAACGCAGAGATGATTTACGTTGATACACTCGCGATTTTTTAATACAGTGATCATTACATTTTGAATTTCGTCAATTTTTTACGATAATTTCATTTCCATGAAAATCGTTCGTAAACATTTTATTGAAAAATTGATTACTAGTGAAATGATAATATGTGTAGTAGGGTGGTCCTTAGTGCCAACCACCGGAATTCGTTATGATAGTCAAGAAAACTCTCCTGGTGAATTTTATTCAAATTCCAACAACATTTACCCCTCCCTCATCAACCTTGAAGTTCAACCTCACGTAGGGTGGTCCTTCAAATTGAAAGTGGGAAAGTCTAAGCTCCAACCCCCAGAATTCATTCTATTAGTCAAGAAAACTCTCCTGGTGAATTTGTTCCTCAATCTGACATCATGTCCCCCCCCCCCCCCCCGCCCCCCCCATCGCCACGGTGCTGCAACTGAGGCTACACTTCAAGGTCGATGAGGGGGGGGGGGGTACATGATGTCAGATTGAGGGACACATTCACCAGGAGAGTTTTCTTGACTAATAGAATGAATTCTGGGGGTTGGAGCTTAGACTTTCGGACCACCCTAATGTGTAGTATTCCTGTAGCCTACAATACGGTTAGTAATGTATTGTGATTTTATTAAAAGTATAAATCCGTCTTTTTCTCACTTTAACTTTTATTAATTTAGCTTATTTTGCTTATTTTAACACTTTATCTGTCTTTGACCAATTTGTGGAAACTGATCCCAGGCCTTAGATCAGATCTGTGACTGATTTATTGTAAATAATGCAGAAATGTGACTGAAACTTATTTCTTAACTTATGTCTTGTTCCTTTGCCTCTGCAGACGGATTTCACCGGGCCCAGCTGTCAGAAAAACAGAAGAGGAAATTATGAAAGCTCGTATTTCTCAGAGAAACAAAACGGTAAGAAACCCCCCAAAAATAAATGTATAATAAAATATCAAATGTAATATATTTAATATAATAATAACGATAATATATACAGCTTACAGGCCAGTTATGCTGCCACTTAAAAGACGTCTAGTGATAAATAAACATTAAATATCTTCAAATTTATTTATTTTTTAACGTCAAAAAGTGTGTGTTTTGTTTGATTTGCAAATGTGCACATTTTATAATTGTATAATTCTTCCAGAGTAAAGCTATAAACATAGTTGATAAAAACATATAAATAATACAACTAAAAACATCAGGTTTGACTGTTATATTCTGAGCAGGAAAATACAGATCAAAACAGAGTTGTGTGTTATACTTCATAGAGATCAACTATGTATTATATTATTTACTTAGGCTTATTTAACAGTAAAAGCAAAGGGAAGGTGATGTTTCTTAATGTCTTAGATGTGTGTAAAGCACGTTGAATTGTCTTGTGTTGAAAGGTGCTGTATAAAGAAACTTGAAAATTAAAGCTTTATTCAGAATATATATTTATAAGATTTTTAACGTTGTCTTGTGTTTTGTTTTGCAGGTTCTCTGAAGAATCGCAGCTCTGTTGTCTCCAGCCTCGACTGCCTGTCCAGCATCGTGGAGCGGATCTCAACCGACACCCCCTCTGCCCCCGAGCCAGACCAGAACCAGAACCAGAACCAGAACCAGAACCCAATCCAGAACCCCATCCATACCCCCATCCATACCCCCATCCAGACCCCCATCCAGACCCCCATCCAGGACCCAAACCTCATCTACCAAGTCCTATAAACCCCCACTATCTCTACCTTTTAATTGAGTTTAACTGAACTGAGTTTCACGACCTGTTTGCACCAGATTCCTTCAAAAAAAAAAAAAAGTATGGAAGCTCATTTGTGCCAAGAAAGAAATGAGAATTCTGGGGAAATCCTTTTGAGTTTAGTAAAAAACAACTTAAGACCCATTTACTTATTGCAAAAGTATTTGTCGCTATAGGTGGAGTGTGTTATTTTATATCAGACTAACTCTACCTTTTAATTTAATTTAACTGAACTGAGTTTCACGACCTGTTTGCACCAGATTCCTTCCAAAAGCCAAATGTATGGAAGCTCATTTGTGCCAAGAAAAAATGAGAAGGAGAATTCTGGGGAAATCCTTTTGAGTTTATACAAAAAAAACGTAAGGCTCATTTACTTATTGCAAAAGTATTTGTCGCTATTGGTGGAGTTTCTTATTTTATATCAGATTTTATAGATTTTATAATTACCGAGCAAACTCCACGTGCAGAAGACGATTTTGCAAAGACAATATTTTTGTATTTTTAAGTCTTAATCAAACAGCTTTTAAATAAGTATTTAAAATATTAGTTACAACAAAAAAATATAGATAATTATTTCAAGATAAAGTCGTGTAATCTAATTTTGACTTGTATTTTGAACATTTTAAGAATATATTTTGTTGACCTGACATGTAAAAAAAAAATTTGAAAGAGGATTCAAAGTGGATTTTCTCATTCCCAAGTTTCCATACGCCATATTTATTTTCCTGGCATTAATTATCTTTCATATTTAACTATATTTAACCCTTGAAATTCTCTTTCCTGCTGTAAAAAAAAGTGCATTTTAGATGTAAAAACCACTATGAATGCTGGGAAATGTCGTTTTTAAACACAGGTTTAGTGATGAATACAACTCGGTTCATTTCTTACAGTATTTCAATTTTATTTTAAGTTATGAGAAGTTATTTTAAAGGCTGATTTAGAGTCAGTCGTCCAGATGGATATTTTTTTCTTCCTCTCTGTGCAAAAAGTCTATTTGATGAAGGACGGAGGCCAAACAAAAAAAACATCCATTTACATTCCTCCACATTCGTCCATCTGAAGTCGTAAAAAAAAGCCCCAGCTGTTTGATTCCCTCGGGAAGAAAAGCAACTGCAATAACATCCAGTGATATTTTAAAGATATGTCATGCAAAACTGCAGTAAGTAACAACAACAATGTGTGGGAGTCTGTCTGCTTCCTGTTCAATTTAAAAACAATTATTATTATTTGATGTTTTCACTCACTGCAGCGGAGGACCACTTTTCTGTTTCTGTACATACGATGTAAATAAGAGCTGATTTGTTCCAATGAAAGTGTTAATTATGTATTTAATGTTTCCGTCTGTACGTGCTTTTGTTTGTTTGTTGTGAAAATGTTAAACTTTATATTTATACATCTGAAAACTGAGTGACAGTCTTATGACTAATAAATGAAAACGAATATTTATACAAAAAAAAACACGACTCTGCTTTTTAATTTATGTCATTTTCTGATCAGGATTATTTAGATTTTAAAGTATTTTATTGAGAGATAATAACATTATTTAATGGTACAAAGAATATATATAATACGTTAATTTAGATATACGCACTTTCTGCTTTTAAATATTTTAATCACATTTAGCTGTTTAATTATTTTATGATGAGCCATTTAGTCTTTTTTAATAATTTTACAATTTTATTTTCACTTTTAGAGAAATTAAAGTATATTTTGTGGTAAAGCTCAAAACGAATCATATAATTTTGCACCAAAAATTCAAAAACGCAAGTGAAATGAATACAAGATATTTATCAGCTTTAGGAGGATTTTTCACCTGAAAACACAGGTACCAGTCTGGTAGTAAAATAAACCATTCAACCTTTAAACCTGCAGCGCCATCGTGTGGTCGCAGAGAAGAACTGCATCTACAGAGGCTTTGGTGTTTTTCGAGATTACAATGAAATAACTTATTTCTTAAAGAGGACATATCCTGCTGATGTTCAGGTGTATATCAGTATGTAGTGTCTCTACTTTAAAGAGTCCTCTCCTGCTGATGTTCAGGTGTATATCAGTATGTGGTGTCTCTACTTTAAAGAGTCCTCTCCTGCTGATGTTCAGGTGTATATCAGTATGTAGTGTCTCTACTTTAAAGAGTCCTCTCCTGCTGATGTTCAGGTGTATATCAGTATGTAGTGTCTCTACTTTAAAGAGTCCTCTCCTGCTGATGTTCAGGTGTATATCAGTATGTAGTGTCTCTACTTTAAAGAGTCCTCTCCTGCTGATGTTCAGGTGTATATCAGTATGTAGTGTCTCTACTTTAAAGAGTCCTCTCCTGCTGATGTTCAGGTGTATATCAGTATGTAGTGTCTGTACTTTAAAGAGTCCTCTCCTGCTGATGTTCAGGTGTATATCAGTATGTAGTGTATCTACTTTAAAGAGTCCTCTCCTGCTGATGTTCAGGTGTATATCAGTATGTAGAGTCTCTACTTTAAAGAGTCCTCTCTTGCTGATGTTCAGGTCTATATCAGTATGTAGTGTCTCTACTTTAAAGAGTCCTCTCCTGCTGATGTTCAGGTGTATATCAGTATGTAGTGTCTCTACTTTAAAGAGTCCTCTCCTGCTGATGTTCAGGTGTATATCAGTATGTAGTGTCTCTACTTTAAAGAGTCCTCTCCTGCTGATGTTCAGGTGTATATCAGTATGTAGTGTCTCTACTTTAAAGAGTCCTCTCCTGCTGATGTTCAGGTGTATATCAGTATGTAGTGTCTCTACTTTAAAGAGTCCTCTCCTGCTGTACTGATATGAATGATACTCTTATAAGATGTATGTAGATAGTATAAGAAATGTGCAGAATTTGACAGTTTAATGGTGGAGGTACACACATATTGATAGATGTCTTGTAATGCACTGTTGAGGAACCTGCGACCCAAGTTTTTCATTCATTGCATAACTACACCATAGTTGTGTATATGATATGTCAATAAACCTTAGAAAATCTTGAAATCTTGAAAGGGATGTGCAAAATAGCCATTATATACAGTCTTTACTGAACTATTAGTAGAGAATAACGAGTAATGAATATACTTTATAGGGATCTGCAGATAAATGTTGGTGTGGGGGGGGCTGGTCCCGTTCGAATCCAGTTTTGGATAGTCTGCCGTGGTTTCGTTCCATTTCAAAGAGCTGTTTGATGTTCGGCGTAACCTTGGCGCACTGCCACTGCAACATCCTATCCCAGAGCTTGAAGATTAATCACGGGGACTGTAGTCCCAAACGATAGCTGGGGATTATGGGTAGTGTAGTGTCTTCGGCCATCCTAAACTCCGAAATGTTTTTGGGATTTCATATCGCATTAACACCATATCCCAACGTGCATTGCGGCTAAAACATCCAATCACCGAGCTTAAACCATAGCTGAGGATCTTGGGTTATCAGTTCAGTGGCTGTGTATCGCAATGATGCTCGAAATGTCCCATATAGGCCTACGTCTGTTTCCGGTTATTTTAACAAGGATAATTGTGTGCTATTGTTGAGTAAATAACAGTGTGTTATTTAGAAAAGAATAACAAATTAGAAGGAAAAAAAGTCAGACATTATACGATTTAAAATAAAAACAATAATCGTGGCTTGATATTGAGTAAGAACATGTTTTTATGAACCACACAGCTTCCGGTCTTCCAAGACACACAAAAAGACGTGTTGCAGGCACGAAACATACTACCAATAGAAATACATTGATTTTAAAATCGTTCTGTGTGACACGAAAAAAAGGGGAAAATCGTGTTGGTGAACACGAATCAATAGATTACATGTCGTGACTATAACACGAAATGCCGTGAGACTGGGTTGGATGTGGTGTATATCAGTATGTAGTGTCTCTACTTTAAAGAGTCCTCTCCTGCTGATGTTCAGGTGTATATCAGTATGTAGTGTCTCTACTTTAAAGAGTCCTCTCCTGCTGATGTTCAGGTGTATATCAGTATGTAGTGTCTCTGCTTTAAAGAGTCCTCTCCTGCTGATGTTCAGGTGTATATCAGTATGTAGTGTCTCTACTTTAAAGAGTCCTCTCCTGCTGATGTTCAGGTGTATATCAGTATGTAGTGTCTCTACTTTAAAGAGTCCTCTCCTGCTGATGTTCAGGTGTATATCAGTATGTAGTGTCTCTACTTTAAAGAGTCCTCTCCTGCTGATGTTCAGGTCTATATCAGTATGTAGTGTCTCTACTTTAGATTTCCTTCATTTTTTAACCATAAACCAGCATTTATCTGGACCTATTTTGAGTAAGTATGACAGATAAGTGTCCCCCGAGTGAAACGCATCAAATTAAAACCTTAAAACAGCCCCAGGGTAATCCCCATGTTTCTAAAAACGTTTCACTTTCTAAACCAAATCCCAATTTTAAATCATCTTGGAAACCAAACTGAAGTGAAAGCAGCTCATTGTTCAGAGGTTTCTGTCACACTGAGCTCTGCTGGGCTTTATAACCTTTACCTTCACCAGGTGTTCCCAATCAACACACACACACACACACACACACACACACACACACACACACACACACACACACACACACACACACACACACACACACACACACACACACACACACACACACACACACACACACACACCTGCTTCCTGTCCTGCCAATCAGGAGGTGAGTAATCACAGTGAGGAATATTGGATTCAAGCCTCTAAAAAACTAATTAAATAATGGTGACGGCTTATTGAATGCATTTTCTAACCAATAAATGATGTCTCTTGTGACCTTTTTGTTGTTGTTATAGAAAAACGATTTGATTAGAGCTACAGAAATGTACTTTTTCCAAACACCTACTTCTTTCTCAGGGACCCTAATGCAATATTAGTCCATTTTAAACCCGGAAATTGTATAATTTACTAAATTAGGCCTACAACAGATTAGCAATTTAGTCTAAAACTAATTTCTCAGGCAGAATTAACCAGGTTTTTTTAAACTGAGCTCTTGGGAAAACAAGACTTATAAGAAATATTATGAAACCCAACACGATGTACACAGTTCAGTTTAGTTATGCTAAGGTTGCTACGTTAGCTAGTTAGCCTAACAGACTTTCCATGATCAATCTAGCCATATCATTACTATTGAGCTAAATAAGATGATACATACATTATATTTTTGTGTCAATGGTTATCTACATTTATAAGGAGGATTATAAAATCATTTTCATTTTCATTTTCTACTCAAAGGTTTATACGTAGCTAGCAACGCTGTCTACGTTAGCTAGTTAGCTTAGATTTTGGCCTGAACACTTTCTGGGGATGTTAATGTATTTTGTGTATTTAGGGCTATCTATCTCAACAATGTCAATGTTTCTACCCTGAGCATTACCCATGACCCTGTGCTCTGTAATTAATAATACAGATTGTAGTTCAAAACAGACTTTAACTGTTAATCTTCTCAAGTATCAAAAACGCTGCCTTAGCTTTAGTAATGCTAAGATGTATACGTTAACTAGTTAGCTTAACTTACCATGATCATAAAATCATTATATTGTTGTGTCAATGCTTATTTACATTCAAGTCAAAGGATTCTAAAATAATTGTAATATTCATTTACTACATATGCAACGTTCTCTAAGTAAGCTAGCAGACTTAAAATGTTCCACGCTAGCTTGTTAGCCTAACTGACTTTAGATTTTCATTACATAAGTTATATTGCTAAATTGTCAAAATGGCAGATGTAAAATGCTTGACTTTTTAGCCTGTTAACCTTTATGGCTAGATATTCAATCATATACTGATAATATATTTTATTAAACCCAACTATTAGATAAACAAATTTCAGTTTAGTAATGCTAAGTTTTCTACATTAGCTTGTACCCTACTTTCCATGATCCGACTAGCCATACTACTATTGAGCTAAATAAGAATATGCTTATTTACATGTTTATAAAAGGAAAGTATAATAATCTTCATGTTCATAGATATTCAAGCTAGCAGATTTAAAGTTTTCTACGTTAGCTAGTTAGGCTATCTGACCCTGATGCAATATTTGACCATTTTCAAATGAAAACTGTGTAAACTTTACATTTTCTTAAACACCCTTTAAAGGAATAGCTGCAACCAATCCCTTATGGATTATGTAATATAGTATTGATAATATAAAACATACTTTTTGGAGTTTTGAGTCTTTGTTTTACTTAGGTACGCAGACTCTATATATCCTGTCTTCTACACCATTTAGCTCCATGTTCAATTCAACTCTGCAGTTTGGAAAACAGTGTTGAACAAATGACTGTCTGAAAAATACGGAACTTTATTGATTTCTTTTGAATAACAACAGCTCTACAGTCATGGCTTGAAGTGTCACACTTTATTTACAAAAATACTGAGAACCAAACAGCTGAGGGCGAGGAAGCGTGATGACGAATGCAAGTTTCTTTTTACGTTTTTTTATTCCTTATGAACAGCAGCTAAAGGCTCCTGGTTGCATGTTTCAGGACGCGTGTTGATAATCGCAAAGTACACCTCAGCGTTACTGGCTTCTTCCGGGCTAGGACCTTTGCCAAAGTGCGCGTCTTTTCCTCAGGCGTGTGTTCGAGAAGATCGCACTTTCGTTTTTGGGAAGATCTACTTTCTGCGGCGGGCGGCGGCTCCCTTCTTGCTGCTGTAATACGAAAAAAAAAAAATACATGTCAGAAATGTGTGGGGGTTTTTAACGGTTTGTAAATGATTGTTCAACAATGGATAATGGCCTTCTGTGCAGAGTTTTAGTTTCACACAACTTCACAACACTTCAGACGCACACTTCAGTTTAGTGCCATGCTTGAAAAAGGGTCTGCGAATTTGTCCGAAAGCCCGTTATTCGGAGACCCAAAGTAGTAAATGAAATACACAAACCTATAAATGCTTAAATAAGAAACCAGGACTTTTGTTTTTGGGATAATTTACCATTGCACTTTGGTCTTACGGTATTGTTTACGAACTCCTAGACTTTCAGGGTAATGGGTTGTCAGATAAATGGCATGGCAACACTTAATAGCACCTTAGCAACTAGATAAAACTACAAAATTGGTTTTCCATCCAACAACTGATTCTGATTCTGAACAATACTAATATGTCTACTACTAGTACTACTTTGTACAGCCAGTCTGGATCAGGCTGCAATTAAACTATTCTTAACGATGCAGGTGGATATTTTGCATCAGCTTTTATGCAGACGATTAGCATGTTTCCAAATATGTTATCTGAAATCACGAGTGAATTGTTAAAGCAGATTTTAGCTGACTAACACAGAAAGAATACAATGTGCAGAACCTCTCGTTAGCTAACAAAGCTAATGACTAGTTTCCAAATAATTAGCTTTCCCTGCAACAATCAATGTAAAAAGTCACTTAAAAATTTACATTTATTTAGTTTAATGGCACAAAAATGGTACAAGCTGTTCAATAATCAACTTAAGGTTTACTTTTTGGCAACCATAAGAACTAAACAACTGAGCCACATGCAAATGGGATAAAATGCTAATGGTTTTGCAGTCTTAAAATCCCAAACTCATGCAGCACTTACCTGCACAAACTGAATCATTACTGAGTCCAATAGCCAAGTAAAGTAATGTGAATACCCTCACAGTTACTGTTGTAATGGCTCTCACACACAAATAAGTAAAGGGGTCAGTATGAAGAGAGGAAACCTGATCTGTACACTGAGAAAGGATGAACTACTTTGGTACTTAATTGCATTTAATAATGTAATTTTCTTACTGTAAAACCAGGTCGTTTCTTGAGGTCTTGTTTTCCTCTATTGAACGTTATACTGACAATATATAATGAATATCTGTTCATCATCCTTTTTCAGAGAACACCAGGGAATACTCCTCGCATACCGACCAGTATATTTACAATGAAATATAAAATTATGAAGTTATTAATGGGTACGTACGATAAATAACACACATATTTCTGGACAAAACAGAAGCAACATATGGAGCTGACCAGGCGTAATGAAGCAGAACAAAAAGAAGTAGAAATCTTTGCGCCAGATTCCTAAACCAAGCTAACAAAATTAACAGTATTCCTTAGAAGCTTTTACTTAGCTTAGCAATCCATTTGCATGAAATTCCAGTTTCTTTCAGACTGCATTAGCTTGGCCGCCTCCAAGAAGACAATCAAAAGCAGCAGTTTGTTTTCCTAAATAACTAACATATATACGGCCACAGCAGAATAGCAATTGCTAGTAATAACCAGAACATTTAAACTAACTGCTTGGAAAAAAGGACTAAAAATGAATATGATGGACTATTAGCTGTACACATTTCAGTATAGTTGTGCTACATTTTCTACGTTAGCTAGCTAGCTTATAACAATCTAATTAAGATTATACATACATTATATTGTTGTGTTAATGCTTATTTAAATTTACATGGAAGAATTATAAATTATATTCCTGTAGATTAACTATACAAAGTTGTTCTAGACAGGCTAGTTAGCCTAGCCTACTTTCCAAGTTTTCTACATTAGCTAGCTAGCTTATTATTATAACTGATCTAAATAAGGTTATACATACATTATATCGTTGTTTTAATGTTTATTTACATTTATATGCAATAATTATGCATTATATTTACTATGCAAAGTTTTTTATAGCAAGCTAGTTAGCCTAAAGTTTTCTACGTTAGCTTTTTAGCCTAGCTTAATGTAGCCTACTTGTTCTCAATACGTTAGCTCTCCTGCTGAACTTTAATATAAGGTTTGACTTAGTGCCTGTTAATAACAGCAGGAATTAAGGAATAACTGAGTTAAAATCCTGCTGACAAAATGCTGCTAATGTTGTATTTTGGGATAAACACGCAACGTGACAACATGAATGACCTGAGAGTTGGATCGAGGTCGCCTCCATGTTGACTTCCAGACAAGTTTTTTTAGCCGTGGATTTGGGCCTGAACACTTTCTGGGGGTGTTAGTGTCTTTGGTCTATTTATGGCTTCCTTCTATCTTAACAAATTAACTTTAAAATTAACCAAGGTACACAAACTAAGAATTATTGATGGAAAAGTTGACTTAAAACTAGAAAAATATCCAAGTATGTTTCGTAATTTAAAAGATTTTTTGCACTTCAATGGCCCTAATGCACCATAGTTCAAAACAGAGTGTAGCTGTAAATCTTAACAAGTGATGCTAATATTGAACTTTTAAATTAATGTAAAAATAAACAGTTAAACCTAGTTAGCTTGACCTATACTATGCAAGTGTTTTTTTTTGCCATAAACAGACATAGACTGTCCTGTTACGGTCAGTTATGTCCTGCTAAGGGAAGGGTTCACGCAGATATATTTGAGTTAAGGTATTAATATTACTGAGTTTCAGTGAACCCATCGATGCCAGTACTTACTGCTTCTGCAAACAATCAATGCGGTTCCTGATAGTGAGCACCTGAAAAACGACACAGCGGCAGCTTTAACACGTTTACCTCTGAGGAGAATCCCTCTGCTTTCCTTTAACGAGTTTCCAGGTGCTGTAGAGTGAGGCATCATGGGAAACCAGGACGGGGTCAAGCATATGATCAGTGTTTCCTCTGTATTGAGTCGTCACATGAATTCACGTCACCACCGCTAAGCTAAAGGAGGCTAATGTTGGGCTATAAAGAAACTACAGCACGGTCACATGAATTCACGTCACCACCGCTAAGCTAAAGGAGGCTAATGTTGGGCTATAAAGGAACTACAGCACGGTCACATGACTTCACGTCACCACCGCTAAGCTAAAGGTGGCTAATGTTGGGCTATAAAGGAACTACAGCACGGTCACATGAATTCACGTCACCACCGCTAAGCTAAAGGAGGCTAATGTTGGGCTATAAAGGAACTACAGCACGGTCACATGACTTCACGTCACCACCGCTAAGCTAAAGGAGGCTAATGTTGGGCTGTAAAGGAACTACAGCACGATCACATGACTTCACGTCACCACCGCTAAGCTAAAGGTGGCTAATGTTGGGCTATAAAGGAACTACAGCACGGTCACATGACTTCACGTCACCACCGCTAAGCTAAAGGTGGCTAATGTTGGGCTATAAAAGAACTGCAGCACGGTCACATGACTTCGCAATCTGATCATTGTTGCGTTAAAACACCCGTCGTAGTTTCCCGCCTCAAAAAGAAAGATATTAGAGAGACTCTGCTTCAGCTCGGCTCTGAAACCTCAGCAGGGTCAAACTTACCTGTTACCGCTCAGCCACACCTGACCAAAGCTCTGCGATGCTAAAGCTCAGTCACCCAATACCACCTTTACATCCAATGTAGATCCGTCTTGCTTTCAACCGAAGAGTTTGTTTCCAAAATGTCATCTAAAAAAAGCTAATTTGTATACAACTATTAGATATAATAAAAAAAGGATTAAAGGTAACTGTCTTACATGACATGTCCTGCATTGTCTTTACATTTAAAGTTTGTTTAAGTCATGTACGGAAGCTCAGAAGTGTCATCATAACAAAAAATATTCTCACATTTTTGGTTTATAAAAACATCAAAGTTGTAAAATAGGAATATTTTGTTAATTATGTAATAATTTAACATCATGATTTGAATCAGGAATATAAAAATAAATCCCTTTGTATTATTATTGTTATTATTATATTATAAAAAAAATAATTCAATTACAAAAAATGCAGAAATTCAATGCCAACTTTCTGAAATGTGTAATTTTGTGTGTGATTTTTACATTTAAAATAAAATCAAGATCTTTCAGATGTCACTTTTAGAAACAAACTCTTAGGTGTTTCGTTTTTTGTCTCGCTGGTGTGTGTAGTCTCCTCTCGGCCAGCGGGGGGCGCTGTGTTTTCCCTTCTTGACCTTCATGCTAACATGCAGCGAGCCCCAAGCTGCAGGCAGAGCGTCGCTGCAGCTCTACTTACAATTTACTGAGCTCTTCAACTCTCTTACGCAGGGTGGTGACCTGCAGGGAATCAAACACACATCGAGGTTCAAACCCGGAGCGTGGCTGTGCGAAAAACCTCAAGATCGCACGACAATTTAAACAACAACAACAACAACAAATATCTGCTACAGCCGGAGAAAGATTATGAGGATTATTGTGCAGAAATCAGGGTACATACCGAGGCAAACCTGTGGATGAATATGGTTATTATAATGATAGCATTTAGGGCTAAGGAGGTTGCTAAATCTGCAAGAAAATAATGCTTCTCTTCCATAGATTTTGAACAAAATAAATGCTTTTCAATTAAGCTATCAATTGTTAAATGTTGTCTAAACACAAGCCAGAATCAAAAATGTGTCTCTCAATGTACTATAAAAAGTATGACTTGAATAAGGAGAGATCTATTCATTTATTAATCAATTAACAAGGCTTTCTTTTTGATAACTGGATCTGATTTATTTACCCAAAATCACCATAAAACCAAATATAATGGTTTAATTGAAAAACAACACCGATATGCAATACTTTAGTAAGTAAACACAAACTATTTAAAGCCTCCTTTAAGAAATGCACATAGTAAACGTACAGTACAGACCATATTTACTGACAAATTAAAGGAATAAGGTATTTAAAACATGTAAATAAGTTGTATGAGTTCCTGTTTTGTTGACTCACCTCGTACTTCTGCCTCTTCAGTCTCTCCATGTGATCGAACTTGTCAGACTCCAGCGTGGTCATCCATTCGTGCAGCTCAGTGATCTTATCCCTGCAGCACAACAACACACAGTAATGTCAGAAAAATATATAAAATCCCTAAAAGAACATGTAAGTTAAATAAATAAATAAAATACAGAAAAGGTGTCCAAAACATGTCGGAAAAATATGTAAATTGCTTTAAAAAATGTGTGTTAAGTAAATGAATACAAGTTAGAGCAATGCGTCAAAGAAATGTCAGAAGAAAAACATAAGATACTGAAAAAAATGTGAGTTAAATTAATAAAAAATGTGATAAACACGTCAGAAACATCTCAGAAAAATAAATACCTTCCCTTAATGTTTTGAATATTAATTATTAAAGAAAGCCACATGGATTAAGAGTTTGCTTTCACCCTGAGGATAAATAAAAGTGAGTCCTGAGAATTGTAATCTTTGTGTGAAGTGTGTGTGAGTCTTACTTGAGCTTGTCTTCGTTCAGATGGTCGATGTTCAGCTGCTTGCGTCTGGCGGCCAGGATCTTCTTCTTCTTCTCTCTCTCAGTCTCTTTCTTTCCTCCTCTCTTCGAGTCAGCCTGTTTGATGCGGAGGAACAGAGGTTTAAATCTTCATCTTAACCCTTGTGTTTATCACCTTCTGTCCATAGAGTTTAAATAATCACCCAAATATGCTTTCAAGGCAACTTTATTCCTAATTACCACAAGCTTCACTCTTCGTTTTGAAATGTATGGTCAATAGAGTGGTGCAGGGATGACGTATTCACCCTGAAGGAAGCTGCTGGTTCCCTCGACAAAAAAACTACGGGTTTTCTCCATAGGATTTAGGAAAATAGCTCGAAATAAGGTCTGTTGAAAACGAACCTGTTTGATAAATGCACGTTTTGTTCAGACGGATAATCTCCACATGTCTACCCTACTTTTATAATGTTCGAATCATAAATCTAATCTCCAGAAGCAAAATGCTAACGTGATGCTATAAAGGAACTACAGCCGAGTCAAGCAGCACGACTTCAACGTCACGCCAACTTCAGATCCATATTCAAACACACAGATTCTAAATGGTACGAGTTGAAGCGTTTGTTTGAACAGTTTTCAGGAGGCAGGTACTTGCTTTCAAGCAGAACAGGGCAAACTAACTTAGAGGAGTGTTTACGTGTTCGGCGTAATGACGTACAACGACCTCCACAACTTCTGTAGTCCTATTCAGCCACTTGGTAACAACCATCGTTTCTCAGACACGTCAACTCTTCAGAAATCACCAGTGGGGTCACTGCTGATGGATTTAATGTCGTAGAACAAAACGTGATCCGTCTCTTCAATTTGTGTCAACCACAGACCTTAGTTCCAGCTATTTTCCTAAAACATGTTCAAAAAACCGTTGGCTCTGAGACGAGGGAACAGGAAGTGGTAAAATGCTAACTCACTTCTGGGTTTTATGACTCGTCACTGCACCACTCTGTAGACCTCATTTACACAAAATCATTGTTAATCTTTGGGTTAAAAAAGGTTTAGGATTTAAAAGAAATTGACCCCAGATGCTATAATTTTGAGTACTTGTAGTAAAGGTCAGTGGCGGGTGTAGACTAATTATAGGGTGGGGCCAATCATTTAATGAGAGGGGCCCATTGAATGCAGGAAGAAGGAGATTTTAATTCTTTCTTTTTTTTAGCATTATTGTTTTTTAGTAACATAGTTTGTGTCACTGACTTTGTTACAATTTTATTTGTAATTGTTTTGGTTGCTTTGGCCCAAGATACAGAACATTAAAATAAGTTTGGGGTAACAAATACATTATTTATGCAGCCAATCTTTGTTTTTAATGTATTTCTTAATATTTGTTGGGATTTGTTTTAGTCACAACATTTACATAGTTTCCACTAAATTATATTACTGAAAAAAGCAGAGTAACTTAGTATTAGAACCTGCCATGGTAAAAGTACTCAGTGTGAGGGGTAGTGCAGTACTTGTACTCACTCTCTGCAGAGAATGTAATTGTACACAGTACTAGTAAAAGTACTTAGTGTGAGGGGTATTTGTACTCACCTTCTGCAGATGGCTGCTGTAGTTGGAGCCCATGCTGGACAGAGCTGACTTCTTCTTTGCTTCCTCTCCGGCCTTCTTCTCCTGGTCTCTCTCTTCCCTGATCCGCCTCTCCTCCTGGTGAAGGGAAAACAAACAGAGTGAGACGTCTTCTCAACAGCCCATCGGGAAGCATGAGGTATAGACAATCTTTGATATACGTGTTAATACAACATACACTTGAAAACAATGTAAATAAACAGAGTGAGACCTACTCTCTCTCAACAGCCCATCGGGAAGTATGAGTTATAGACAATCTTTGATATACGTGTTAATACAAAATACACTTGAATTCTTTTTAAATAAACAGAGTGAGACCTCCTCTCAACAGCCCAACGGGAAACATGAGTTATAGACAATCTTTGATATACGTGTTAATACAAAATCCACTTGAATTATTTTTAAATAAACAGAGTGAGACCTCCTCTCAACAGCCCATCGGGAAGCATGAGTTATAGACAATCTTTGATATACGATTTAAAAGGTGATATTTAAGTTTTACGAACCTCACGCTTGACCTGGCGCTCCTTTTCTTTCTCAGATTGGATCCTCTGCTGCTCGGATCTCTCAGCGCGACGCTTCTCCTGCAGAACAGGAAACAACACACTGAGTCAGAGCTGATCATTACGTCTATACACACACACACACTTTGTTTTGCAAAATCTAACAGACAGATAACAGATGACAAGATTTAGAAACTGTGCTGTTTTCTCTATCGTAATTTTAAGGCTAAAGCGAGCAGAAAATAGTCAGATAAAATACTTCTTTAACGAAATAATACTAGTTCATTTTTTTGGAACACTATGTCGGTATATTCAGATAAAACGTCATTACTTTGAGTTAATTAATAAAGTATGTCTTACTCTATCAGGTCATTATTTGGTTAAGTTTCTCATAACCATTTACAGGATCTTTCTTGCAATGCATTGGCACAAATGGGCTTCCGTACTTCAATAATGTAGCGCCAGAATGTGGAATATATTTAGCATTTGGATTATTTATCTAATGAAGTTCAAATTCAGTTGTATATTTTCCTACAGTATAGTCTGTTTGAGATACTATGTCGGTATATTGAGATAAAAAGTCATTATTTTGAGAAACTTAGTCATTTTTTATAGAAATCCTCTCCTTATTTTGTATTACAAATTCATTTTATGCCCTTATAAGTCTTTTTACTGAGAAACTATGGAGAAAACTGAGAATACCAAGTCATTGTTTGAGATAATATGTTGATATATTGAGATAAAAAGTCAGTACTTGGAGCTATTAGTTAATTATCTTGGAATACTTAGTCACTATACTGCCCGTCCAAGTCTAAATATTAAGATACTAACTCATAATTCTGGGTTACTAAGTAATTAATTGTATTCTATGTTGGTATATTGGGATAAAAAGTCATTATGGTAATTATTTTAGCAAAATTAAGACTGCCCTTATATACTGTATTTAGATAATATGTCATTATTTTTTGCAACACATTGACAGAAATGGGCTTCCGTACTTCAATAATGTAGCACCAGAATGTGGAATATATTTTGCATTTGGATTTTTTATCTAATGAAGATCAAATTCAGTTGTAAATTCTCCTATAATCTGTATGAAAAGTGCATTTTAAAGATGTTTAAAGGTGTGTTTTTTTGGTGAAAGACTCACAATCCTGTCCTTCAGACCGATCAGCTCCTCCTCCTCCTTCTTCCTGCTAACAAAGTGAGCATCGATCAGGCCCTGCAGCTCCGACAGATCTTTGTTCTGACGTTTCTTCTGGATATCCTGCAGGGCGGAAACACGAAAAAACAACCTTTAGACAAACAGAAAACCCTTTACATGCACTCAAATCCTTCACACTTCATCTCCACTTACGTCAAAGTCCACTTTCTCACCATCGGGCATCTTTGGTGCAGCAGGTCTGCAGGAGAGAGATTTTTAGGCGCATATACATTGATTATTAGTTGAAATGCTTATATTTGTCTTCTTTGATTAACCAAACGTCTCGGATGCTTTACAGATATCATTTGAAGAAGAAAAACTCACTTGAACTTTGGCTTCTCCTCTGCAGATTAGGAAAATGAAGAGGGGACAAGTACATGTCATGGGGTTAGAAACAAAGCAGACTTCTCTCAGGCATTACATGGATTAAAATGCATGGCTCTGTGTGACATATATTAACATTAAAGACTGTAAAATGGTAGCCTCAGTGTTAGAGCGACAGGTACCAACACTGTAAACATAAAACTTCAAATACCAACAAAGAAGTTTCTGGATTAACAGACCTTGCTGTGAGTTGTATTATTAATATTACAAACCTCTCATGAAGCCTCGTTTATCTAAAGAAAAGTCACTCAGAGTTGTGACTTTTATGTACTGTACCAACAATATAAGTCTTGTTTTTGTTTCTTTGGCTTGACCCCAAAAGCATTTGACACAAGCAAGACATTTCCCCCATTTCATTCTCAATTTTTCTTTTTGTTTGTACCCAGATTCTGGCGGCTCCATGCCATGCAGACGACGAGTGGCATAGCAAGAGTTTATCGGTGGGGTCGCTGCGCAGTAAAGCACGTGTTAGCATCTCATATTCTTTCACCCTTTTTCTCCACTAGCTTTTAATTTTTGAATAATAAAAAATTGGTAAAAATTTGGATAAAATTTGAGTGCCAATTGGGCAGCGCTCCTGGATTCTTTGACAGACAGATAAAAAAGATTTGGACAGACATTTTGTGATCAGCAGGCGTTCCCCGGTAGAGTTCAGACGTCAGACCTGGACCCTGTGGTCCTTCCCAAAACCAGAATGACAGATTTTTCTTTAAAGATTAATCAGAAGTTTCTTTTAATAAAATCAACATACCTTCCTCTTCCACAGCCTCTGCATGCAGCAAGCATCCAAAACAAAAAGCAGAATAGACAACAGAGTTAGCATCGCTCTGAGAGCAGCAAACTGTACATCCATCAGGTAAACACAAGGAAAACTACACAACTAGGGCAGACAGTCAATGTGCGGCAGTCTAAGGAGTATCTAAGGAGTAAATTCTCAAATAGAAATGTCAAATATTACATTTAACAACCAATAAAGGCAAATGGTCGTTTTTACGTTAGCTTAGCATCCACTAGCAATACAATCTGGAATCGATTTGGGATTAGAGGGATGCTAGAATATAATAAATTAAATATTTAAAGCAAGGTAAAGGTTGTTCTTCAGTTTTAAGGAAAATAAAGGCCAATATTTGAGAATTTACATAGAGTAGGGTTTCTTTTAACCACAGTTTCACCTCCAAGCAGCTCAACAGAGAAGGATTCCTGCAACATAAAACACTAAATTCACATGCTATTTCAGAAAAGTCTAGGTAGACATTGTTGAAGCAACTTGGCTGAATTCATGGTATTCAATTATAAATTAAAGTGGCATTAAATCAAATGCGCCGTTTCTTTTTAGATGTCATTTTAACAAAATAGCATGTGAATGTGACACCAGCTCTCCCACCAGCATGTGAGCATTTTATAAGCAGTACATTTAGAAAAAGGTGAAATATGACACTCTTTTTCTGGTCTTTTAACTTAATTGAAATGTTTCATTATCATGCGTAGCCTTTAGAAATGAAGCAGCTCAAGATAAAGCGTGTATTTGTAAGGTATAAGCAAACATGTACGCCAAATACAAGTACAAGTACTCAGAGTACATGTGGTACAGTAGTAGGCCTATAAGTAGGGTTAGATTGATAAAAGAGGCCAATATTTATTTTGTTTTTTTAATTTAAGCCCTAAATAAAACCTGTGTTTGCAGATATCTTTTTCCATAATGAACGCCAACATGTTAGCATACAGTATGCTAGGCTAAGTTGCTAATAAAGTAGCACTCCCACATTTTTCAAAAGGAATAGACAGTTTATAGACTAGACGTTATGAGGTACGTTAGCAAGGAGGCTAATGATAATTGAGACTTCAAAAGTTATGAACCGTAAAGATATTTACTGTAGTTTTAACTGTTACTATGCTGAACTGCATGCTAACGTGTTGGCGCTAACACAATGTACAGATGCATGTAGCTAGACTATAGTTTATTCATATCCACCAAAGTAGTAGATGCTAGTTCACCTCAGAATCAATCCCCCTAAAGACATGTTCATTAATGAATGAATGAAGTAATGAATGCATTTTTTTAAACCTTCAAGCATTGTAGCAGCCGAAAGCTAAACAGGACACAAGCTAACATAGATACGGAGCAGGACTTTTTATATCCGCCTAAAAGCATGAAATTTAGTGCATTAAAAATATGGGTTTTTACACACTAACTGTAAAATGCTATGGGTATGATCATCTTAACATTATATTATAAGACATCATCACATCCCAGCGTCTTTGACTTTTCCAGAGGTGAATGGAAGGTAGCGTTAGCATTAGCATGGAGAACATGTGTTTGCGGATCAGACTATAACACCCCTTGTTGTTAAATACCTACGTGCAATATGTGCAATATATATATATGCCGTAGTAACTGTGCAATATAAACCTGGCTGCTATATATTCAGAACTGTTACAGGATGTGTATTTTGTTTCATCTTTAATATATTTTTATGCATGCTTCTTAGTTAACATTAAGCTGTCTTTGGTGTTTTTTATGCACAAATGTAAATGTCCCCCTCTGTGGGACGAATAAAGGTATATTCTGATTCTGATTCTGATTGGTGGGTCTGTCTGGTTTGCTGCAGCCTTTCTTTTTTAGGAGCGCACCTGTTTTCTGGTGAAAGGATGATAGAATACCCCCTTCCCCCCTCCAAACCACATACCTTCAAGCTCAAGCTCAGGCTCTGGCTCTGGTTCTGGTTCTGGTTCTACCACTGGTTCTGGTTCTGGCTCTGGCTCTGGCTCTACCTCTGGTTCTGGCTCTGGTTCTGGCTCAGGGGCCGCCTCAGGAGCCACTTCTACTTCCTCTACTACCTCCTCGGCTACAGCTATACAACATGCAGCGAGACACCAGGGGAGAGGAAGGGCGGTGATAAGGGTTAATGGCAGCGGGAGAAAAGAGGGAGAGAGGTGGTGAGTAGATGGAAAAGAGGGGATGATGAGTGAGAGATATATGAGGTTTCATTGCGGTGGCAGTTTGGGGGGAACTGCCACCGGATGGCGCTAAAAGCATGTGAGACAGCAAGCGGTTACAGGAGGAAAAAAGGTTGATGGTCAGTCGTTGATGGATGAGTTGTGATTGATTCCTGAAGAGTTCCTGTGCTGCAAAGAGACATGTTTCTTTCCTGATGCAAAAAACATACTTTCTAAGTCTTTTTTAATTTATCTCAGATGGCGTTAGTGTTAACTAGCATGCCACAAAAAAAAAAAAAAGTTAACGTCGAACCTACAAAACACACTAAACAATGTCAAATTAGTATCAATGGCATGAGAGTTATCATCTGCAGCCTTACCATCGTATTCTTTTAGGTCCATCCGAGAAAGAAAGGAGCAGAAGAATATTATAAAAAGATCCCATTTGTACCCATTTTTGAAAATATATGAATTCAAAATGTGGGTACACTGGGGATCCATGCGTAGCAAACACAACACAGTCCTCCCGATCTGAACGGAGCTCAAAGGTACCAATCAGATCTGGAGGACTGTCCGGTTGCAGATTGCATGCAGGGCTGCAGGACTTGCTGACAACAGGTCAATGTAGGTGTTTCTGATTTTAAAGTCATTATTTCACACTGTCCTGATGCCAGCATTGGTTCCTGCAGCCACACAACAGCAGGAGGATAATATCTGAGCTTTAATTAAAGTAGAGCATCTGGACGGAGTCAAGCCAAACCTGTAAACATATGGATTTGTCCAGTGCATACAACTCTTTACAGGGGATGGAAAATAAGTTAGGCATGATTCAGAAATAACTCTGGGATTCAGCATGGGACTCCGGAGTCTTGATGGACCTCACTTTAAGGGGGATTTCATGTTTTTTAAACGGGGGAAAATGGTTTTACTTACCCTCGACCTGATCACTGCAAGAGAAGAATAAAATAAATTCTGATTTAGACAAAGATTCAATACAAAAATAAGCGTTGAAATGTAAGCTTGTCCACGGATTCAGAAGTTTGGCAACGCAATCTTTACTCAAGGTTTTTGAGGTAGGTTTTTCCAGAGCAATACATCTAAAGTTTGATTATTAGGTAGGTTAACACATAGGCCTACGATGAATTTTACTTGGTGTTGTGGTGCATACAATAAAACATATTGTATACATTGTGTGCATTAATTAATGTACAACATGCTTCTAAATTGACAATGAGTTGAGATTATGTTGCCAAACTTCTCACCAGGTGTGGTTTAAATTTGTGAATGAATAAATATGAATGGACTTACACTTCCTCAGTGTCAGACATGGTGACGGTGGACGATACAACCTGGAAGGCAAAAAGAGAAGAGAGGAATTTAGCGTCTGTCTGCCAAGGAGCAGCCGGCTGTATTTTTAGCTCAGGATTAAGTTGCAGAATGGTTTAAATATCTGCCGCCGACCCCACCCTGCTGCCCTGTACATTTCTCACCCCCTACCCCCAAAAAAATCTTTATTTAAATGTAATTTCTAAATAGCTTTCTTGTTCATCGTTTGAAAATCTTCTACCCTGGTTTTGTTTTGGGAAAGCTCCACATTCCTCAGATCCATTTTGGTTTAAAATTAGCGTTGAAACTTTGGGCTGAAATTCAACCCTCGGTCCTGAATCTGCTTCTCTGCTGATAAGTGAGAAGGGAGCCAAAATTAGATTTTATGCCAACAGCGTTTTCTCAACTGCTGAGAGAGGATATTAATGTTGGGGGGGCTTTTTTATCTTTAGAAACAACCCTAACAGTTTCAGTCGTATCTATAATCATTCTCCATTACTGAGTATATTTACACAAGTACAATTTGGAAGTACTTGTACTTGAGTATACACATTAAATATGACTTCTTCTTCTTCTGCACTACACCTCAGATGGGAAAACTGTACTTGTGACTTCTCTACATTTATCTGACAGCTTTAAAACCTAACCTAACCCTAGCTTCCCTACCTTTACAACATAATAATAATAATAATAATAATAATGCATTTTACAGAGTAAAAATTCATGAAAACAACACACTCAATGCAAAATTACTAATTCATCAATATCTGTAATAGAACAAGATATATTGTGTATTATTCTGCATGATGAGTAATCTGTTGGTTCTTTAGGTACACTTGATGTTGAATGCATTTACTTGTCAAAGAGTGTTTTTTCACTTCGTAGTAAAAGTATTTCTATTGAAGTATAGCATATTTTCCATCCAGAGCATCCAGACATGTTTAATGCATTGACTTGTCAAAGAGTATGTTCTACTTTGTAGTATAAGTATATGTATTGAAGTATAATCAATTGTAGTAGTAAGAATCCAGACAGGATTGGATCAAACCCCCCGCGATGATAAACACACATGACCTGAATGTGTGCATTATTTAATCTCTCAGAGCGATCAGAGGATTAGTTTCTCATTAGCCTCGTTAGCCCGAGGCCACCATGAATGCTCCGACAGCACAACTATTTCCAACTGACAGCTGTTCAGCTCCAGATCCAGTTTCAGGGGAAGATGAAGATGAAGATTGGGTTCCTTCCCCTGGACCACTACCCATAATCCCACACCATCTCCTTATCTGGACGTCTCGCTCTCACATGGCTCCTTCAATCACGCTCCCTGCTGACTGAAGACACTTTGTCCAGGAATTAAAATAAACCCTGAAAGGCCACAGGAAGGTCAAAGGTCTAATGCTGAAGGCTTCTTCCTATTTGCTCTTTTGAATCCTGTAAATTCCCTCAACTCAAACGCGTGTTTACACCATGATGTAATATCACTGTAGGTACTTGGCTCCCGTTCAAGATGTTAAACTGTTTATCCTCAAGCTATGTGAGCTTTAATGTAAACGCATGCCACGCCCAATTGACAGCTTCCTAATGGACAGCATTAACCACAAAGAAAGAAGTCCTGCAATGCAAAAACAAAGTCCGAGCAATGTCCAAGACTTAAAATATCAGAGGTATTAACACCGTCCGTCGCCTCTGTTCTCATGGTGTGACATAACTTATTAGTGTCGTCTTCTTTCTCCTGAAGCGGAAAGCTGCTTCAAAGGCTTTAAGCCATCTGTAAATCCTTCAGGTATGAACCTCCGCTGGGACACTGGACTCGGACCAAAGCCGGCACAATAACAAACACAAAGGTCTTTGGGACAAGAGGGTGTCCTCCAAGAACGTCAAAAAAACACAATGCAAGATGTACAAAGCAATCGTTTCACCTTTTGGAGAAACCAGAAGATGTCAAAAAAAAACACAGCTGATCAACTTCTCAGGCAAACAACTGCAACCAACAACGGACTAGGTTTAATAAAAAGCCAAGCAACCCTCTCTCAGGGTGTCAAAGCGACTTCTGGTCCCTCCATCTGACCCTCTATTAGTCGTGGCAGTGATTTGAACACATGTGGCTTCAGCTGTCCTCAGTTTTAGTTTTAGTTTAGTTGGGGACATTGCATTTTAGCTTCACTTCCTCTCTAGCATTCACACACTCACTTGCACTCTTACCTGTGAAAGAAAAAGATGAAAGAAGGGAGATCCCCGCTGGCTGAGACTAGCTGTAAGGTTCTGCAAACTTACCGCGTTGATTATGTCCTTCTGTTATAGTGACACACGATCCTCCAGGCCTCCCCATTGGTCAAAGGGCCGTTCTGGGGGCAGGGACCACGGCTTGGGACCCCCCCCTCCCACCGCTGGCACTCAATAAGGAGATGGAAGAGTCGAAGGCTAAGGTGGGAGGCTCAAGTTTGGAGACGGGGGGGGCAGCCAAGACTCCCTCAAAGGTTGCTATTCTGGGGGACGCTGCATTAGGCAAGCACATTTCATCTGAGAGCAAGAAGGAGGACGTCAGGGGGGCAGGTGGTGATCCTGGGGGTCTGAAAGAAGGCCAAGACACATACACATAATGTATATATAATATCCTGCTTTATATTTTGTTACTGTTAATTAGTATTACGATTTGTTTTACTTTTTAATGCTATTTTATTTCTATTTCAGAAATATTTTAGATTGTTTGTTTCTAGTGTTTTAATTTGTCTTATGTACATTGTCTTGTCTTGTTATGCTGCTGCAACGCACACATCTCCCAAATTGATATCAATAAAGTACTTACCTTATCTTATCTTATCTTATCTTATCTTATCTTATCTTATCTTATCTTATCTTACTGGATATACGTCAGAGAGTTCAAAAGATTCAAAGATTCAAAGGTTTTATTGTCATCTGCACAAAAGCTACAGTGTAGAAAAGGCAATGAAATTATTAATAAAATACAGAATTACAAATAAGAAATAGTGCAAGAGGTCTATATAAACATACATATAATGTATATATAATATCCTGCTTTGGATGGATGGATGGATGGATGGATGGATGGATGGATGGATGGATGGATGGTAGGTAGGTAGGTAGGTAGGTAGGTAGGTCGGTAGGTAGGTAGGCAGGTAGGCAGGTAGGTAGGTAGGTAGGTAGGTAGGTAGGTAGGTAGGTAGGTAGGCAGGTAGGTAGGTAGGTAGGTAGGTCGGTAGGTAGTGAAGTAAGAAGATATGATTCTACACTGTATTGAAGTAAACATGTATTGTTTGAACTGTTTTATGTAATCACAACGGTTTGGGTAATTATATATAGAATAGGAATGTTATTCTCACTTTCAAACTCACTGACTTAGAGATTCTGTGTTTCACACACCAACATTGATCCTTATCACCACTAAGAGCCAGATGCTGTTTCTAAGTCGTTAAAGACATCGTAAAATAAGAAAAGATCCCCTGGAAAAGGTAGGGAGGGGAGATCGGGACGGAGATAACATTGACTTTTGACCTAGTGTGGTTTGGGGTCTCACTCTGTTCGAAACTCTGATTGACCTCGGCCAGAAGCGAATCCAGCCAATCAGGACACTTGGGGGAGGTTAGCAGTCTAAACAGCTCCTCCCCAGGCGTTCTCTGGTTCGCTTGGGAGAAAAGTGGGAAGGAAGAATCGACAAATCTCCGCCCCAAAGACAGATAGAAATACTGACGTTTGTGTGTGTAAAATTGCTTTTTGGGTTTGGTGAGTTGGTTGACTCCGTTAATCTGTATCCGCATCGCACCATTGACAGAAGGCACTCTCTTCTCGTTCGATGGGTGGTTTGATCCCGATACATTTTGGCCGCATCGCATCACGAATCTAAAAAGTCCGGGGTACTCGAGTACTCTGTATAACTTGTATATGTGTTTGGTTTCCTACTAGAAGTAAACTCAGATAATTTGTTATAACTTTGATTCCGGTGTTTTCAATTCCTTTCTTAATTTAATAGAGATCCAGCCTCATCCAACGAACGGCGCGTAGCAGAGGTATTCTACTCCAACAAGTGGTGACTCCCGACGTTTGTGAGCTGATCTCTAGAAAGGAACACCGATAGCCAGGGGACAGAATCCAGTCCAGGGGGAGGACACAGAGATACTGTTGACAACTACACCAAGGCGCCATATACAAAAGGTGAGCAGACACCTGTTTTGATTATCAAAAATCTGTGATTGATTATACTAAAACATTTAGAGTTGTCAGCAGCGTTCTCAGTGTTTTTAGTCACGGTGGGAAATACAATACATATTCTAGTTAAATTAGATTATTAGTGCTTAGAGTCGGGTAGTTCAGTCCTTACCTAAGGCACAAAAGTGCTCATAAGAGGCGGGTATTCAGTCCCGTCCTATGACCCACTAACAACGAACGCTGTAACGCTGTAAAAGATGTATGGGGTAAATTCCCCGCAAGTCAAAATAACATTGATTAATGCGGTTAGCTTGCAGTGCGTCAATTAAAGACTGCAAAAGGTGTAAAAAAGGGTTGCATTCCCCGCAGGTCATGATCAGATTGATTAATGCGGTTACCTTTCGTGGTGCTTTAAATGTATAAAATGTCTGTAATTGTTATATGGTGGGTGATAGAGGAGGAGAGAGACGCGACCTCCAACTAATTATTTGGAACGACCGTATCTCATCACAAAACTGTTGTGGGGATAATCAGGCTCATTAAACGTGACGATAAAGAGATTTTGTTGACTGAGTTTTTAACTCTTGACCTGAAGTCGCAATCACCGTGAGGAGATTGTAGAAGCTTACTTCTGGAAGTCACGCTATCTGTTGAAATAAACATCGCACAATAATAATTTGCCTGACTGTGATATGATAAGGTATGAGAAGCTCTGTGTGATTTTTTTTTAAGTCAAATCTGTGTAATACTTGAGAGACAGAGAGCAACAAGAAGGTGGTATAATGTCTGAGACCCTACCTCCACCCTATGGAGATAATGGCTCACGAATGCCACTTATGAGTATCCCATCTAATACTCCTAAAGGAAAACACATTGTTAGACCTGATATTCAGGGATAAGGAATGTTGGAAATAGTAATGGAAGATATTGAAAATCTTAAACTGGATCAACCAACCATGTTAGTGAACCCTGCTAATATGGAGCTAATACATGTAGAAAGACTAGCAGCAGCTCTGGCAAAGACAATAGGTCCTAGCATGCAAGCACAGAGCGGTAATATGATAAGGGCTATTGAACTGACCCTTTTTGGAAATGGGATTTTCCGTTACATAACGGAAGACTCGATTCAGGCCTTAAAGAACGCTTTACAAACAAGTCAGGGAGTGTTAAATGTGGAGCTATGTTGCTCAAAAGGGAACTTACACTTTTGGGAAGAGATCTCACACTTTCTCTGTCGTGAGGTGCTGCTGACTCAAAGCAGCATACAGGGTCAAAGACAGGCGTGACCTCTGGAGAGGAAGAAAATCTAAATCTGAACAGACCACAGAGCCCATTAAAAGGTTTTATGGCCTCTACACTGAGAGGAAGATCTGGAGATTGTAAGGAACTCTCCCTAAATATCCACCCCCACACCATTGAGGGGAAGAGTGTTCCTTTCACCAATAAACAAATCATCTCTTAACCAAGTCAGATTTCAAAGTAGCCATACCTCAAGTTGTTAAGAAAAGAGGGAGATTCAAAAGGTTATCAATAATTGCCCAGTATATTAAATAAATACAAACGGACACGTATCAATATAAGTCAGATAATGTAGACGAGGTCAATCGTGGAAGAAGGCTGACATTTAATGCCTGATATATAAGTAATAGTAATAATAAATATATAGCTGATATTAAATAACTGATGTATAAGCCTCGATATTTCTGAAAATAGGAACACCGTTAACGGCGTTCTATTTCAGTAAAAGGGGGAAAAGGATGGGATATACATCAGACAATATGTATGTGAGATTATTACGTTTTGAGGAGAAATTTATCAATTTAAAATACTAGTTATGGTATTTTTGTTTTGTTTATTTGTTGCTTTTAAGAGAAATTGATACATTTAAAATAATCTAGCTTTGGTTATTTTTTGTTTTGTTAGTTTGTTCCTTTTTTTGTTTTATTTTTATTTTTGTTCTATTTTTTATTTTTATTTTGATTTTTGATTTTGATTTTTGATTTTTATTTTTTGAGATGATTTCAAAACCATATTTCCAGCAACTTAAGGGCTTGGTATGAGACTTCTCCACACAGGCTGCTGACGTTAAAAGGGGGACCCGAGAAACACAAGGCCAACACAGCAGATTACGTCTGGTTGGAGGGGACCTCCCATGCCGTCCGCTCAGATGGAAAGGGAGACAACTGGTACCACTGGAGCCAGTGTGCGGTCGGGAAAAACACCTGCGAGGACCCTGGACGACATCAGGACAGAGTTGGCCCTCGTCGCGAGGACCCTGGACGACATCAGAACAGATCTGGCTCTCGTCAAGGCAGTCGACCCAGGAGGCGCCATCAGCGGGCCGGAGGAGGAGGATCAGGACATCTCTCCAGCAGTCGACCCAGGAGGCGCCATCAGCAGTCCGGAGGAGGAGGATCGGGAGGACATCTCTCCAACAGTCGACCCGGAAGCCGCCATCAGCGGGCCGGGGGAAGACAATCAGGCCACATCTCTCTAGCAAGCACCCCAGAAGCCGCCGTCAGCGGGCTGGGGGGACGAAGACATGGCAAACCAAGACGGCACAGGGAACTCCATTTCCCGCTGAAACAGGTTGATATAGCCGGTGTGGAACTTTGTCTGAACAATCCATTTTTTTTGAGGAACTTTCAACTTTATTTTATATCCCATAATGTAAGGGATTTGTATTTTTTATTCTACAGAACTATGTGTTACCAAAAGAGGGAAAAGTATGATAATGTCTTTTCTGATTTCTGTGGCTACTTTTATTGCCATTTTGGTGACATGTGGTTGTTGTTGTGTGCCTTGTATCTGCTCACTGTGTGTTAGACTCATCAGTTCCACCATTGAGGGAAGAGTAAAGATGACTCAGCTGACAAGGACTTTGCTTTTTAGACATATTTTATTCTCCCTCCACTGTCATAATAAGTTGTTGTTGTGGACTGTTCCTAAAGGTTTAAAGTGCTCTATATCCCAACTTCTGATGGGTTTATATAAATGTTGGAACAGACACAGTAAGAAGAAAATTGACAGTGGTAATGTTTCAAATGCTATATGTTGATCTCGTGAGGTGAGATCAAAAGAGGGATTGAAGTAAGAAGATATGATTCTACACTG